GGCGTCACTATGGCGCCACAGGTTGTCTGAGATTCAAAAACTGCACTGACTTTTCCGGTCCAAAAATTAACCTCATCTCCAACCAGTCCACTTCCCAGGTGAATAAATTTATTCACCACGTCGATTGACTCGTCTGCAAGCATGAGATTTGGGTTTGATCCCACTCAGTCTTGTAACAGCACTTAACACTTTTCAATTGTGAAGCGCACCCCACACCGTACGATAGTAATTTATTTAATTTAAACTGGTTTGTATTTTTGAACAATCTGAACCAAGGAAAGCAATATCTGCATATTCATCGACTGTGAGGAAACTTCCCGGGAGCTATTCGACCCCCGAGTTCTCAAAGGCAAGCAAAGAAATTCTAAGCAGCACAACAATGACAAAGTTGAGGAGGAAAAGTGAGAGGGGGGCTTACTGAACATTTTTGTTCCGAATGATTCACTTTCTTACCTTTACGGTAATCTAAATCCACATCTAGGATTCAATCAGGAGGTCGACATGGATTGGGCTCGGTACGTATGGACAATGGCGAACGGCTGATTCAGCTGTGTGCTGACTGCTGGCTGCTTTTATACAGCACTAACTTCTGAAATAGCCGAAATCATCTAGCTACATGATGTCCTCCAACGGCGTGCCGAACACGAACTCAACTTGAACACAACTTGAACCAATGGCACAGATCAGTAACGGACTACCGCTCGCTTTGGAATACATTTGTGGATTCTGAACACGTAGTCGTCCGGAGTTACTGCTCTCTTCGTCTTCCAGGGCCGCGTAAGTTGCGGACAAGTCGCTTAGCAACTAAGGGACTGACAGATGCGGATGTGAGGCGAGTTCACCAGTCTTTACCAGTCTTCTTCAACTACCCCACAACCATGTGTGAATTCGTGCTGGGACGGGATAACCAGCTCTTCGAACAGTGTTGTGAGGTCTCCCTGTGGCACGGTGCTACAAGGCCCACTCAAACACTGGATATCAGACCGAACAGTGGCGCTGCTATGATTTCGGAGAAATAATCCTGGCGGTTCCAAAAATAACTTGGTCTGACGAATTATCAGACGTCAAGTGAAAGTGAGTGTGAGTGCCGACCGTGAAACCTGGTGGATTGGGAATACTAAGGAAGTTGAAGAGGTCCAGAAAGCCTGGAGTGACCGGAGATTATTTCAGTTGATCCGTGCAACCGCTCCCCGAAAACTACCTGTGAGTAGAACCATCAAGGATCAGAGTGGAGCGGCCACCTCGAATAAAGAACATCAGTGGACCGAATATTTCGAACAACAGCTATCGTGGCCACCAGCCACCACTCATCTGGAGCCTACAGCGGACGCAGAACCCTGGACGGTGAACTTGGAACTCCCTACGTCTTCGGAGACTTATGACTGCAGATGTTCTCTTAAGCGCCACCGAGCTTCTGGTCCGGACGACTTCCCACCAGCATTGTGCAATGGAAGTGTAGAAGTCCCCAGTCCTCGGGGACAGTCCTCAGTCAGCACCTGTCTGATCTGTTTGTGCGCATTTGGGGCGAGATAGCTCAGTCGTTAGAGCGCGAATTCACTGACCGGAAGGTGCGTGTTTCGAACCAGACCTGTTTCTCTCGACTTCCCTTGTTCAGCCTTGGACAATCTGGCAGTATCCCAGCCCTCGTGCTTCCTTCGTGTGGCATGGCAGTTAAGCACGTTATAGCCGTTATAGAGCGTTATAGCCGAAAGATTATTATTGTTTATATTATTATTTAGTAAAAGGAGACTACCTCAAACAGCTGAAAAGGATAGATGGGTTGACCCTGTCGTATCCCCTTTCATTAGTTGGCACCGCTTACAGGACGCCATATAATCCATCAACTCACTTCTCATCCCGGGCCAGTAGGCCCTCTGCCGAAGTAAGCGTACGTCTTGGTACACCCTGTATGTGCCATCTCATGGCATTCGACGATAAGCTTCCGTCTCAAGACGCGAGGTATCACGGGCAACACAACATCATAATCGGTGGCGTTCCAGGAAATTATGCCAGCTTCATTCAGTCCCAGCCGATCAATTTGACTCTGGAACGTTTCCACTTCCTTGTCTCCCTCTCCGTTCTCAATGCTCCTTCCATCCAAGGTGGCTGCAACCTTCTGTAACACAGGATCCTGCCGTTGGTGTCGCACCAACCTTCTGGAATCCAGTTAGACGACGAAGCTATTAGCCCCAATCATGATCCTGGGGTCCTCATCTTCAGCATCTGGTCTTGACAGCCAATCAGCCAAGTGGTTCTCCTTCCCTGGCACGTGCTGGATTGTTAAGTCGTACTCTCTCAACCGGAGTGCCCAGCGCGCCGGCTTTCCGCGGGAATCTCTGGCGGTCCTGATCCACTCCAGGGGTTTGTGGTCGGTTTCGACATGAAATCTTTGTCCAAGCAGATATGGCCTCCATTTATCCAGGGCCAAGACGATCGCTAAACATTATTTCTCAATGGTCGAGTACTTCTGTTCAGCGTTAATCAGGACACGACTGGCATATTCGATGACTCCATTCCTCTGCTTTAGGACTGCGCCGATACCGCGATCACTAGCGTCCGTTGCAACAGTGAACATCTCTCCGACCATGGGCAATTTGAGGGTCAGTTGCTGATCCAACATCCGCGCTTTGACACTCTCAAAAGCCCCATGTGCTTTCCTGATCCATTCGAATTCCCGATTTTGCTCGAGCAAGTCGTACAGTGGAGCAACAATCGTGTTGAAATCCTGAACAAACCGGTTGTAGTATGCTGCTCGTCCAAGAAACTGCCACAGAGACCGCTTTGAATTGGGAGCAGCACAGTCCTCGATCTTTGCCAGTTTTTCTGACAGTGGGTTAACCTTTCCGCGACCCACTTTACGCCCCAGCAATGTCACCGAACTCCGAGCAATCTGTGTCTTGGCAGACCAGCCTTCCGGATCCGCTTTAAGTGACCTGCGTGCACTAGTTTGGAACTGCTATACACAATGATATCGTCTCCGTATACGGCAACATTCTGGAGTCCCTTTGTTATACGAAGCATCAAGCGCCGGGATATGAATGGTGCCCCAGACAAACCAAACGACATTCGTCTAAATTGATATTGGGTGTCCCCAATCGCAAACGCTGTTTCCTCCCGTTTCTCTGCCTTGATTAGTAGTTGTCAGTATCCGGAACGCAAGTCAAACACAGTGAAGTATCGTGAATGCTAGAGGGGATCGAAAATCTCCACAACAAAAAGGACAGCTACAACCCGACTTACGGTCAGTTCATTCAAGCGCCGGAAATCCGCGCAAAACCTGTATTTTCCGCTCGCCTTCCTTACAAGCACAACTGGGGAGTTGTACGCACTATTGACTTCTTCGATTATGCCATTTTTCAACATGTCTTGAATCAGTTTATGGGCCTCTTCCCGTAGATGGAGCGGCAACGGACGGGGGCCATAAGGTCGAAAGCGTTCTGGCGACAGAGGAATTTAGTGTTCAATCCACGGACAGAAGCCAAACGGATCCTCATCGCCAGTGAACGGTTCGGAATATTCCTCGACCACGGACCGTACTGACGGTACATTACAAGACGGAAGTTTTCGGACACACGGCTCACTCACGGCAGCGCCTGGTTAACCTTCAAGCTTGATTGCGCCATGCCTTGTCACCAGCTTTCCCTGCTTTACGTAAACCACGGAACCTGTGTCCTTGAGGAAATCCGCCCCCAATATTGTCTGTTCTATGTCTGGGCCGATCAGGAACGCGTGTTGCACGGACTTGTCCCCTAGGCGTGTCGAGTGCATTGACAATCCGTCAATCTTCAGTCGATATCCACCCACAGCTCTCGCAGCTAACGCGCACGGTCTGCGTTCAGCTTGGTTCCCTCTTCGCCTCAGCGATGCGCCTGCTCCTGTATCAATCAAACATAACTCCCTTTTCCCGTCTACCTCGACAACGGTTCGTATGGTAGCCTGTATCACTGCACTAGTCACAACGCACTCGGGAAACGAGGAGTTATCCAAAGTTTTATGTACAGGTGGTGGGGTACAAGGGCGCTGATTCTTCCAGTTGTCAGGCATGCTACACTTGTAGCATCGGTTCGATCGAGCGTCCCTCCGCGATTCTGTCTTTATGGCTGCAAGCTGTTCGACGAGTTGGTCCACTTTGTTCCTCAGGTCCTGCATGAATCCTCCTACACTTGTAGCATCGGCTCGTTCGAGCGTCCCTCCGCGATTCTGTCTTTATGGCTGCAAGCTGTTCGACGAGTTGGTCCACTTTGTTCCTCAGGTCCTGCACTGTTGAATCCTCCGTTCTCCTCCGACTGCAACGTGACCAGTGGCGCCTCGGCAGTTCCCGTGCCAGATGCACCAGCTCCTCCACACGCAACTGGCCAGCAAAAGTCTCATATATATCCTGTTTATAAAAACTCAACATCCATCCTCTCCTAAACACATTTTCGTTAACGTTCCTGAATATTCATTGACTGTTGCTCAAACCCAAGCAAATGCGACTCCATAAGTTCCGTAATAGATCTCACTTTTCGAGGGACGCAAAGGGAATTTACGAGAAAACATACTACTCGCATGCCCCCATCAGTAGTATCACCGTTGCACCAGTAGCACCCGCGGTGAATCATCAGCTGAAGCACCCTGAAGTGGAAGACTAAGAATGAAGGGCCGGTTGGACCTAGTTTGAAAACCCTCTAACTCATCATATCAAGATTTTAGCAATCACGCCAATTGACAAGAACCACTAATTGACACTCAACACTGATCGAGTGTGATAATCTGAAGAGGATTTACTGATTGATTCCTTCTCCGCCTGATAACCTGGCCAATTTGGTGACTTGTTAAAGCGAAACGTTGCCAAATTAGAGACTACCGATTGTTTACCAAGCCCTTTTGTTTGGGTCACTTCGCGGAATACCAAAGTAGGATGTCTTCTGAAGCACTCGCTTTCGGGCAGACTGTAAGATGATGTATGCGAAGAGGAATGTCAAAGCCGATGAATACAAGTACTTTTGTCCAGAACTTACACCATGATAAAATGAACGGGCGCTGAGAACAGCCCGCGATGACGAACTGGTATAGAACGTGACGTTAGGCCGCCGCCTGAACCAAGTGGGATGGTTGCTACGAAACCGCCGACCGAAGCTATAAAGTTCCTCGAAACCTCGTGGTAACAGGGTCTTATCGCTTCCCTTTACAAAGGGAACCAGATAGTCCTGGAAACCAGAAGGTAACATTGCATCTTGACTGGGAAGAAGGGACAGAAACGACGGTAGATAATGTCCCATAGGTCAGTGTTAATAACCAAGCAATACTACTCGTTATAAAAGCTTACGAATCCAATAAATTCATACCATTAATTGACGATTGTGTGAAAACAACAGTTAAAGTCTGAAGGGTACCCTAGGTTTCAACAGCAGGTTAGGATTAGATTTTGATCAACTGTTTTTCACGTTCAGGTAACCCCTATTATCTATCGGACTTGGAATACAAACAAAAAGAAAGGAATTGAAAAGCGAAGGGATAATAAGCGAGGCCTTATCAGTTAAAACTCAAACGTAAATGTGTCTTCAGACGCCGGAACACGCAGGCACATGGGTGAAAATAGTTATTCTGACAAGAAGTTAAAATATGCCCAGGGTCGAGTGGTGCCTAAAGTTGTGTGTACTAAGGTGGACACTCATTGAGAAACTGCCTTACAATGGAACCATTGAATACGTAAAAAGGTGTACATTAGGTGTCTAGATCAGAGAACAAGTAGGACTGATGAGTTGAGAGGAGAGTGCACGCAAGAACGCTGCTAAAAATGGGTAGGTGCGTTTTGTTACTTCAAACATTGTCACTGCTATGGACCCCGGCATACAAATGAACGAGAAAACCAAAATACCACCAGATAGTCGTGTGTTTTAGTTAGTAACGCAACGATTCCTGACAAGGCGAGGCCTGTGAACATGGTCAGGGCTAGTCAGCATACGGCCGGACGATGGTCTCTGTACGTGAAAATACTGATTCAGACACTAATAAAGTAAAGAAGGGAAGTATACTGACCAATGAAGGCTGAAGTGGTCTGAGGGACAGTAAGTCTATTGTTTATAACAGTCTGTGCTTCGTTTCACAAAATAGCAAGTTGCATTTTGTTGTCTGCGTATCCAACGCACTGCAGTACCAAAAAATTACAGTCGGACATGTTTTAAAAACCACATTACAGCTATCGAACCTTTGTCAGCAAAAATGTTCATGACAATGGAAAATTAGTTAATAGTATTATTCAATTGACCAGTTGTGGAGCTTCTATGCCACAAGCAATTGTCTACGAACCAAACATCCAGCAAACCATATAAGCGCGATGGTCAGAATGCACTAACCTGGAGATTAGCCGGTCACGGAGTTCAATAATTCTATGCACATCCTTTGACGAAGGAGCACGAGTCCCATGTCTATATATTGCGTTGATGTGAACCAGCGTGCAAGAGTCGAGTCTCTTAAGCGTCCCATCATCGAACGAAGAAAGACCACAGTAGCGATATGCCGTTTTGGTGGCGAACCCAGACGGATCAATTTTTTCGTGTTCATTTGGATCAAGAATTTCCACGCACGTCACACCGAGAAGGAGAACCAACAATGGTCTGCTAATTGACATCAATCAGCTGTAAGCACGAGTAAATTAACGACTTATTACCGGAACCAAAAAGAAAATTACGGTCAATCACAAGAAAACCTCTGATTTGGAAACGCTAACAAATCTTACTGAATTTTCGTTGTCTTGAATGGGATTTCATTCACACAATCCTTGATGTTATAACCGCTTCAAATAGGTTAGAACTAGGAAATACACCTTTCTGATTTTCCCGCTCTCACAAGTTTACTTGCTCCTTCAGTCGGGGTCACTAATTTAAACTAGCATCAAATTATAAGGAACAACTGAAGTGTCAGTCAAACCATAAATGCTGTGTCCAAAGTAAAACCGCCAAGCGCATGGTTCGAGAGACAAGCCATTGGAGCAGCCCTGTCGCTACCGACAAAAAGAAGTACAAAGCGGGAGACACTAAACAAAGTAACTCTTATCCAACGATGGCCGATTGTACAAAACAAGGAGAAATAACAACCAGTGCCTACGATCTATCCCTCTATTTAGAGAACCAAACAGAATTTGAAAGAAAAAGTGATAAATGAAAACCAGGATTATAATGCAATTCCGCTAGCCGGTGAGGCGACAGCTTGTCATTTGTATCCTAGGCCTCTTCCAGGCTCACTTCCCACATCATATTAACGGAGCCAAGTCAAAGTTTAGTAAAATTCGATACGTAGCTTCACCACCAGCACGTTTTCGATGTGCTATCTTTTAGAGATTCCGAGCATCAACCTGTCGACATTACGTGTCATATGTAACAAACATAAACCAATAAACCTTGGGGCAACCTTGGCAGTCATGCTTTCAACCTGATCACTATAACAATAAGGGTGGCGGCTCTCAACCTGTGTTGCACCGTGCAACCCCTTCAGTATACTGCGGTGAGTTTTACCAACCGAAAAATACGGAAAGTAGATTTTCACTATGGTTATTTCTTTTGTGCTTTGCGGATGGAATCTAGGGAGCAAAGTTCACTATCCCCCACAACCTAAACTTGTTTGGGAAACCAAACAGAACCAGAAAAATGGTGGAGATTGAATATCAATTTATTCAGGCGGCAGATAAGTGGGACCAGAAATCATTTTCTAGTAATTAATGTCGTCATGCTATCGATCATGATGATGATGATGGTGATGATGATGATGATGATGATGATGATGATGATGATGATTGATCATGATGATGGTGAATAAAACTTCCAAGATAAGTAAAACGCT